CAACGTTCAGTTTTTTGCTTTCATCAGTAACTACGCATCGTATCCGTAAAGCATAGTTTCCAAAACGGAAAGTACCTATCCAGTGTGCAAAAATTCGACTAGGAAAACCAGATTCTGGCCAAACAAACGCAGATGCCAACTTCCGTTAGATTAACACTGTTCATCTGCAATCTTGCGACGAGGCACATTGACACTTTCGTCCTCAACGTGTCTGCTTCCTCGTGCACGGAGCTCCTGCTGCATATCGTCTTGCGAGGCTGGATCGCAAAAACAACTATGCTACTTGCGACAAATGAGTAGTTCGGCTGCCCGCCACTGAACTCCAGGCCATTTTCGCAAATCAGATTTCGAAATAACATTTCAAGGCAATAGGAAAATACTTTAAAGTTGGAAGAAGACAAGAGTAAATAATACTAAATAATTTTTTGAATATTTTACTAGTTCTACTAAAAAAATAGTAGAACTAGTAAAATATTCAAAAAAAAAAAAATGTCACAATGGCAAGAAATGTTTCGGTTCAAGCCATGTAAGCCTGCTCGACAGAAAACCGCCCCACGCCCCCTCTCGTTCAGCGTATATCTTGTTTCTCCCTCTCTCATTTCAGGGAAACCAAAGCATGCAGCATTTCGCAGTGCTTTCATAGCATGCTGCCGGAGGAGAAAGTCTACAGAGCATAGGATACGAATTATTGAAGTTAATTTTTTAAGAAACCTTCTTTCAGCTTTTTTTCCATCAGTGATACAAGACGCGTAGCTTCCACTATATCCTCATTTTCAATCATTCCCATTTTCATGGCATTGCGGAAAAAATCGAGCGCCGTCCAGTCGTCACGATTTTTTAATGCAACATTCGCCCCGTACTGTAGCAACAAATTAACGATCGCTGTGGCTCCCCTATCACACGCTTCCATTAACGGGGTCAGACCTCCGCTATCCTGAAATAATTCATCGCTGTTGAAAAGACCAGCGACTTCGTTTCACATACATAAAATAGGCAGTCTTCAACTCAAGTTTCCGAATTACACGTCAAGCCTCACTGATACCTGGCTTTTTTCCTCTTCGCCCTCTCTCAGAGCAATTATTTTCATTTCAAATCTAAATAATTTGCAAATACTCAAACATTTCGTTTGTAGATTTATTTAGTACACCGTTTCACCAACAACAAGCTTTATACATCTAACCATGAAAATCAGGGAAAACTATGCATTTCTGGACGTTCCTATTATGAAAAATACTAATTTACAAAAACGAGCTACTGAAAATCGAAGAAAAGAACTCACTGTGCGTTCGCCCTCGGCTGATAATGTCCCTTCATTGGATCGCAAATTGAGGTTTGCTCCACTCTGCGCCAAAATTCGTACATTTTCCAGTTTCAGTGCTCCCACCGCTTCATGCAACGGTGTCCATCCACCTTCATCACGTGCATTCAAGTTGTACCCCTGCAATAAACTCAAAAAATTAATCCGTCAAAAGGTTTCATCATTTTTACGCAGCTAAAGTTAAGCACATGCACGAATTTTGACGGCATAGCTTCAACTCTATGCGCCAATACCGCATGAAAAGTTGAATGAAAACACACTGAAATTTTAACGTCTTTACTACAATAGTAGCAGTGTGACACAGAACAAATCATCGCTAAAATTGGCTGCTATTCCCAGCTCACAATAAGCAGTGGCGCAAATTACACTAGCAAGCTCAAATTTAGCAAAAAGCCGGGCTCCAGTCGCTACGGTCTTTCATCATGGGCCAGCGCACCCAAAATTAGGAAGGGACAGTAGTGGTACAAAACGGAACAACTTGAAGCCCCACCAAGTAATTCAGTCAGCAAAACTGTAAAACTGGTAATTCTTTTGTTAAGAGACGAAACAAATGTCAGAAACGGCCTACAGCTGACCACGATGACTTATCGTTGTGCCAAACTGACTAAAAGCAGAAAAATTGCTGCTCGTAAAACACACTACGAATTACATCTAATGCAAATACAGAAAATTTTCACGAACCACTTCGATGAGTGTTTTGAGATAGCGCGAATCATTTCCGCGAGCTGCTTCATGCATTCGAGTTTCACCGTATAAGTTGATTTTTTTGTCTTTCTCCGATCTGATTCGATCTTCCATACTGCGACGATTCGCTTCCTCTGCAATTTTCAAAAGCTGTAGTTTGAACGAAAAGTAAAGTGCGTAGGGAAAAAAATTTGTCCCTTTCGCTAGTTCATGTTTAAAAAAATGGATTTTTTACCTTAAATCTTCAAAAAAAAAAAAAAAAACTGTTCAACTTCTTCCAGTTCATAAAAAATTTACTCCCTCTATTTAAATCTTAAAGATGAGGAAGTTAATTTTGCCAATCTTTACTAATTAGTATAATTCAATGCTGCCCTCATATCTAGCTGCTTAAGAAAAAGAGACAGACAACTGTAATTTTTGTGGGAGCAGTTCTAATAATAAACTTAACTTTCAGAACAGCAGTTGCAATTCTGCACAAAATTTCCCAAAAAAAAACCAACAAGAGATATTCATAAACGGGACTATCAACATTCAAGAACTTACGTCTTTTCATACTAAAGGCACCAGGTGCTTCCTGACATAAAATCAATGGATAGGTCTTACCAGCACATTTTGTTATAAAAAGTTAAAGACATACCACGGCAACGCGTGAGGATCTGCATATCGGTTAACTGATCCCACTCGTCGAGGACATCCCCCGCTGGATCGCTGCCATCTTCAATTTCCGTCTGCTCGTCTGGTTCTTCAGTGCTCTGTTTTTCGAGCTTTTTTAATTTCAATTTCACATCTTTCTGCAAATCCTCGTCGATAGCCGCGCTCTTCAAGTATTCCAACCAATATTCATAGAGGGCTTTCTGAAAATGTAATACAGATGCGTGCTGTCAAACAACAACAAAGTGCAGTAAATATGTGCTAAAGGCAAATTTAGGAATTGACTTGCAAAGTCGTGAAAAAAATTTTTTTTGCATTGTTACGGACGCGAAGAGATTTTTAACTTTATTATGCCCGACTCTCACAAGTCGTATACTTCATCGGCCCACTGCTTTCTGCGTGGACCGATGCTTTTCATTTCCTAACTTCTGTTGGTATTTCATCAGTAACATTTGATAGGCAGCGAACTAAAACAACCCATGGATGCTAAGCTCTCCAAAGTAGATGCTAAGCCCCATGGATGCTAAGCTCTCCAAAATCAATACTAAGCTCTTTAAAGTGGCACGAATCAAGCGGATAAACATCAGATTTTACAAAAACAAGTGGACAGAAAAGCGTGGAGTCATGTGTCAAGAATCTCTCACAGATTTTAGATTCAGCAGGCAACTAACTCACCGTGCTATGTAAGCAACAACGTATTAGAAAAAACTCCAGACGATAGAATATAAATTTTAATAACCTCATGCGGAAGAAGTCCAACAACCCTAGAAATATATCTATCAGCCACCTAAAATAAACAACTTACCTGCTGTCTTTTCCAAACAATTTGATTTTCGGCTTTTCGGAAAAGTCCAATCACTTTATCTTGCGATAGTGAGCTCATTTTTGCGGCAACACAGGCAATACAGATAGTAGTGTCCGCTTTCTAGAAAAACACAGTGCTAGTAAAAATCTATGTAAGAAAGGAAATTATGAAAAAAATGCTTTGCTCAGCAGCATGTGACATCAGATGTAAATACTCTTCGTTTTCATAGTACTTCTGGCGATAGTGACAAAAATACACAGTGCTTGAGATGTTAGAGTACTGGAAATCTTCATCGCTCCATATTCAATATGACTCCGCGCTCCCCTCCTAATTCAAGTGCGAGCTCTTCGAGGATCGATGGCAGTAAGTTGTAAAAACCATATCAGCAGTGGAAGGAGCATGATACAACCGGCACTTTCTTCAATAAGGATGAAGAAAGGTGGATGACGGCTGGCTGATGCAACATCAGCCCCAAGAACCACGGGCTTCACGGCCACAACAGAATTAATCGAACGACACATTAATAATTGGCCAACCCACCGGCTGCTCCTGCGAAGATGCGTTTTTTGCACAGCTCCCTGTGTCGCTAACGGCACTGGTTTTCCGGCAGATACTTCTAGCTACAAGAATTCCCGACCAGCTGGCCAGGACTGTCAGGAAACGTCCCTTCAAAATTCCAGTCTTCTAGTTTCTCACATTCCCGAGTTAGCAACTTACACGAAAGAAACCTTCACGGGCCCAAACGTAGGTACTACGCTTACTCGAGGGCTGGGTTTGAGCTCATTAATAAATACTTGAACGAGGAACATCCCCTTAAGATTTCAGCTTTCTAGCTTCTCAGATCCCCGAGTTACGAACTTATCCAAAAAAAATTTTGGCGAGCCCGTACGCGGGGACCACGCGGGTAATGGCGCCCATTTTGGGAGTTGGGGCCCATACGTAAATGTAGATTAAGTTCCCAAAGTTTCAGGCCTGCAGCTTTTATAGGCCTTGAGATGGAAATTCGGGACAGACGCACACAGAGACACACGGACACACAGACAACACCTCGTCAGTATGCCTTTTTGCATTGCATAGCTGCAAAAAACGCATAAAAAGTGATGACACAAAGAAGGCCTATTGCACACCTTGGCATCGCTTATACTCAGCGCACTCTCAAGCCGTTCAACTTCTCTAAAGCAATCATAAGCTTCACTGTAGCGGTCGAGCTCTTTCGAAGTTTCAGCCACCGAAACGAGCGCTTTGATTTTGTCTTCCGTTGCACTGGCATAACTCAGCATCTGCTTATAGAACTCCACAGCAATATCGGGGAATCCGGCCTGGAAATTGTTATCTTATTCCATCTATAATATTTCTAACCATCGACGACTGTACAAAAAAAAACCTAACGAGCGCACCAAACGCACTACGACGAGTAACAGACAACTTTCCCCACTGTCGTTTCTACTGTATCTGAATCTTTTTAGGGGTATGGTATTTCTGACATAATCTTTTCTTTTTATAATGAAAAAAAAAAAAA